CCCGTCATCGCGTCTGTCAGCTCGCCGGTACCGCTTGGACAGCTGAGTGAGATCCGCCCCGGCTGCGCATTCTCCCACTATTCCCGGGCTGCGTTGCTCCCCTCAAAGCACGTCGGTAGAATAGCCTGCGACTCTTCGCAGAGCCATGGTCAAGATGCGGATTCCCATCCGCGAACAGTTGGGATGTCTGGTTCTGCTGGCGTCCATGATAGGCCTGGCCGTCATAGCCGTCGCAACATGGGTACATATCGACGCTGCATACTCGTCCATGCTGGTACTGACTTTGCCAGCTCACCAACCACAACTTCGTGCTCAACATCCGCTCGACTCGCCTGACGCTGACAGCCTCGCTCAAAGCCGCCCAGCTCTCCTCGAATCTGAACTTGATGCAAATCCTGTCCCAGCAGGCTGCGAACCGCCTCTCCCCACAGGCCGCCCTCAACCGATACTACGACGGCAACACCTCGGAGACGAACTGGGCCCGAGTCGAGGAGGACTACGATGCCATCTTCTCTGGTGATATGCGGACCCGTGTGGCTGTCCAGGCCCAGATATACCCCTTCAATTCCTCCGAGCGCTCCGTCTTCCACCGGACCGCACAGAGCATGACGGACGTTGTGCTGCCCATACTTAAGCCCGACGGCACGAATGCGACGCTAGGCGACAACGAGTACGGCTTCATTCCCGAGCTCTACCCAAAGTTCTCTGTTGAGACGATTCCCTACAACGACACCTTCAACACCTACAAGGCACACTACGAAGGCAGGACCATTGACAACACGAGCTACCTCTTCACCGGGCCCTACCGCGTCAACGAAACACTCAGCTTGGTCTCAGTCACCATACCCATCATCAACAACACGTCCAACATTGACACTCTAGGATGGCTGACGGCTGTCCTGGACGCGTCGCTGATTACCAATGTCATCAACGCCATGGAAGGTCTAGACAACAGTGGTCTTACCCTGCTGTTCGGCCCGGACAATGCCACGAATACCTTTCCTCCGGCATATCTGTACGACGCCGATACCCCCAACGCTCCCGAGAACGTACAGGTTCGCTACCTCGCCCCGCCAACACAGCGAGCAAAGGTGCAACGGCATGGCCAATACGACACCTCTCTTGATCCGCCTCCATTCGACTGGGCAAGATATCCCGCCATTCGCAAGGGTTTCACCAAGCCTACCGGCGCCACCAACAATGCTGGTAGCATCATCTCTACTAGAAACGAGGATGGCGACGATGTTGCCGTTGGGTACGCTGTCGTTAACAGTCCCATGGTCGACTGGATGATTGTGGTAGAGCAAACCCACGATGAGGTCTGGGGACCCATCTACCACCTCCGGAACGTCATCCTTGCCTGTGTCTTTGGCACAATGGGTGCAATGCTACTTCTGGCGTTTCCCGTGGCACACTTCTCCAGTCAGCCCATCCGAAGATTACGCGACGCTACCAAAAAGACAGTAGCGCCTCACATGTTTGAGGACGACGACTTCAGCTCGCAAAACGATGGCGCCAACGACAGTTCGGAAGATGCGGCCCTTGCCCGCAAAGAGGGCTTCTTTGGTCAAATCATACATTACCGGAGAAACGCAAAAATGAACCGAGCAGAGAAGAAGGAAGCCGAGAGGCGGAGACAGTTCCGCATTCCAGGCAAAGTCAAGGATCGTAAACACTTCATTCACGATGAACTCACGGATCTGACAACGACCTTCAACGAGATGACGGATGAGTTGATGATGCAATATGAGAAGCTGGAAGAGCGGGTGGCACAAAGAACAGCTGAGCTCGAACAGAGCAAGAAGGCGGCCGAGGCGGCAAACGAGAGCAAGACGCTGTTCATTGCGAACATCTCGCACGAATTGAAGACACCACTCAACGGTATTTTGGGCATGTGCGCCGTGTGCATGTCGGAAGACGACCCAAACAAGTTGAGACGGTCGCTAGGCATCATCTACAAGAGTGGAGACTTGCTACTCAATCTATTGACAGATCTCTTGACGTTTAGCAAGAACCAGGTCGGTCAACAGCTCAGTCTTGACGAGAAAGAGTTCCGGCTACGGGACATCAGCTCTCAAGTCTTGGCCATTTTCGAAAAGCAAGCAAGAGAGGGCGGCATCAAGCTCGCTGTCGAATTCGAAGGACCATACGAGAACAACCTGGACGATAGCGGACGGCCGAACGAGCTTCGCGACCTCGGACCTTTCGGGCTTGGTCGACTCAAGGACATGGTTCTGTACGGCGATCAACATCGAATTCTTCAGGTGGTCATCAACCTGGTATCGAACAGTCTCAAGTTTACGCCACAGGGTGGTTCAGTCACGCTCACTATCCGTTGTCCTGGAGAGGCACACATGTCAGACAGTCGCAAGGCGTCTCTGCAATCAAGGCAGAGCTCAACGCGCAACTCGAAAACTCGCGTAAGAGCCTCCGCATCAGAGGTAGGATCCGTCTCAATTGCGACACCGAGCGACAACTTCGGAACCGCCAACGTCATCAACGTCATGGGCAAGGGAGATGCGTTCTCCCGCTATATGGCTCAGGAGCGAGCCCCAACACCCCCACCGGGACGGTGGTTGTCTTTCGAGTTCGAAGTCGAGGACACTGGTCCAGGTATTCCCGACCATTTACATGCCAAGATATTCGAGCCTTTCGTCCAGGGCGACTTGGGTCTAAGCAAGAAGTTTGGTGGCACCGGTCTTGGCCTGAGTATCGTCTCGCAGCTGGCTGGTTTGATGAAGGGCACGATCGGTCTCAAGAGTGAGGTCGGGCACGGAAGCGTCTTCACTATGGTAATACCGTTGAAGCACCTTACAAGTCGGGCCGACAGTACAGCCAGCTCCAGGAACGTGAACCTGGAAACCGGGACACCGCGCCGTAGCTTATCGATCGACGAGCCGCCGCGAGGTCGCTCACATGATGACGCGCTTTCGGCCCGCTCGATACAGTCCGCTACAAGTGGCCCGATCGTCGCTGGGAACACCGCTGCTACTGCTCCGTCCGGGCCAGTTGCATTCGACACCGATACCCAGCCTCGTCTTGTCGGTCTTAGTCAGCCTTTCTTCGCTTCGAATGCGCCATTGGAATCACCAAACTCGCAGGTCGCCGCTATGAAGCGTGTTGAAGCCGAAGCAACAAAACGTGGAGACAAAGTAAAGGTCCTCGTCGCCGAAGACAACAAGACAAATCAAGAGGTTGTACTGCGCATGTTGAAGCTTGAAGATGTGTACGATGTCACTGTCGCAAAGGACGGTCAGGAAGCGCTCGACTTGGTCATGGAAAGTATGGAACGCAAAGCTCCATACAACCTCATCTTCATGGATGTCCAAATGCCCAACCTGGATGGTCTGCAATCAACGCGACTGATCCGACAGTCTGGTTTCTCGGCCCCCATTGTCGCTCTGACAGCTTACGCGGAGGAGAGTAACGTGAAGGTATGTAATCAGCGTCCTGATCTCGCTACTGTTATACTAACAAGTCATAGGAATGCCTCGACTCAGGCATGGACTTCTTCCTCTCGAAACCTATCCGCCGCCCCGCCCTTAAACACGTCCTCAAAACATACTGTCCTACTATTCCAGAAGAAGAGTCGGACACAACGCCACCCGGTTCTGCGGTCTTGACGCCGAAGCCAAATGGTGTAGCGGTGAAGCCTGCCCCACCAGCAGCGGGGTCCACGGCGCCATTCACCATCGTTTCGGGAACGAGCGATAACCGGCGTGCCGATGAATCGCCTGCCATATCACCCATGACCTCGCCCGCAGCGTAGCGCTAGTGATGCATTATCTTGCTGCGCTCTCATCTGATCTTTCTCGCTGGATTCATCATCTCTATCCAGCGACACCCCTGTCTACGAAGTTCCTTGTAATGTCCTAAGCACGATACCACTTAATCGCTACTTTTCTAATCTCCGTTTGCGATCTTCTAGTTTTCCATTTTCTTTTGCGGCAAATGTACATAGCAAGCATGGCGCTGGTCGGGCACGGGTCGATTTCCTTTTTTTTCTTCTGCTGGTCACAAAACATCTGGGTGTGCGTTTTGGCGTTTACTCTTCGGCGTGCAATCGTCAGAGCCTTGTTATTCTTGGGCTTGTTTCTTTGGAGAGATTTTGATGTGTGGTCATTTTCGAGGGTGTTCTCTTGGTGTTGGAATGCGGAGAAATGAGATGGCCCGCGGGGTCCTCTTACTGGGCAACAAAACATTTGGTGGGTATCTGGGATGAATCAATTGAACTTATCTTGCAACGCCATTCTGGCTGTTGCGCAACACTTATACTGTCTGAATTGGTTGTCTGTGAGTGTGTTGTCCTTGCGATACTCTGCGATACTCTGCGATGGATGTAAATGTTTCAGGAGATGGAAGATCTTGCATATTGAACCACCTCATACAATGAAGAGACCGAACAGGTGCACTGCAGTCTACGTTGGCGTAAAAACGTATTAAGAAGACTATAGATCCGGGAAGAAGGAATGGGTGTAATAAAGCAGCCGAAGCTAGTAACTCCCCTCTACCAGTGTCCACCGACAGCGTACTAATGGAATGTGTAGGTTTTGAATGAGCCTGCTGTGTGTGCGGGGTCGAAGCTTTCGAAGAGTGTTAGTAACGAGAGCCGAATATATGACACTGGAATTATTAACACCGAAATGGGCACGAGGACCCAGAAAATGTAATAACAAAATTTCATGGCAATGTGGTCTTCTAGGCTGACAACCTAATATGAGTGCTTTGGCTTTTCCTTGGACGTTGTGATACTGTGAACTCACTTGCAGACCTCCTTACGTAAGATGAAGAAAAGTGTAATGGGTTGATTTGGTCTTCTTATATATCGGAGGGCTAAAGCAGTATGAGATAGACCCTAAGTGTCTTGTAGCACCGAATGTTCCGTCTGCTGGCCAACGATACCGCTTCGTGCCTCCCTAGTCTCGACTCAAACAGTAGTATCCAGGAGTAAGCTCGGACGTACCAGACGCTGGACAACAGCGTATTCGTGTCCAAAGCCGTCACATGGGAAAAAGAAGAGCGCTCGGGTCGGGAGGAGCTTTCAAGCCGGCCATAGCCCTCACAAACGCATCGTCTTCCGACCTATCTTGTTGTGAATCGCCCACGAGGTCTTCGTCAAGGATGTCAATATCAGTTCCAGGGTGACCATGAATAAGCGCCAACAGAGAGCTTGTGAGTGAGGCAGGGCGACGGCGCTGAAGGCGATGAGCTTTTCGCATCCTCTTTATCCACTTTGCCTGCCAGTCTTCCTGTGAAAGTGCGTAGTAATCTGAGACGTTGTACTCTTTGCGGTAGTTCATCTCAAAAGCAAGCACAGTGACTTTAGCGCCTTCCTTCATCAACGCGTGAACCACTTTGCGGGAGCGCTCCAGAGCCGGCATACAGTAGATGTGATCACCGTCCCATTGGAGCTTGATCGTCAGGTGGAAACCCTTCTTGACACGCAAGTCCAAGAGCTCTTCGAAACAGTGCTGGAAGATGTCTTGGCCATTCTTGGTCTGAAAAGAGTGTTTCGATCGGCCCTCGTTTTGGATGTAAGCCTCATCCCCAAAGGAGAGCTCTAGACGGCGGATGTGGTCGAGAGGTTTGACGCCGAGGTGGAAGTGATCTTCAGACAGGAAGTCGGTTAGTTCGTGGAGGTGATTAGCGTCCAACTGACGGCCGGGCATGATGCGATAGTATGCCTTGGCGACTTCCTTCGCGACGTCCATTCCCACATACTGGTGCTGAGCCCAGAGCGGAAGCTCCCACCAATGGAAACAGCGACAGCTGTCTCCCCTGCAGGGTACGGACCAAGGCGCGAAATTGATCTTTTCCCGCCCTCGGTCCCGCCTCCGGTCCCGCCCTCGGTCCTGCCCTCGACGGCCGATCGACGCGACGGACGGCGGGAAACTTGTAGTGTTCGAAGTCTTCTCGTACAAGGTCACGTCATCGAACACCAGTCTGAGCATGGGCTCATCCCAGACGTAGTCGTATACCATCTCGCGGAGCTCTGGTGGAAGAGTGGTGTAGAACTTGTCGACGAATTTGCGGCAGAGCTTCTCAGCGACGATGCGGGTGAGGTGATGACACTCCTTGCCCACGTTTGTTCGCCTGATTTCGAGCTCTGCAACCTTGCTCTTGAACTTGTCGAGCCTGGGTGGGAGTTTAGATATGAAACCTTACGCGATCGCTCGAAAAGAAGACTTACTCGGTCTGGACGGAGATCTCTTCTGCAAGAAGCCTGAAAGGTGTGAGTAATCGTTTATAGATGTCGCGAATGTTATCACTGACCTTGACAGCTCTGCCTCGGTTGCCTCCAGCGTGGGCGCGTTGTCGCGGAAAGAGCTTGCGCTTGCCATACTAAGGACTCAAATATAGATTTTACGCTGAGAGTGTTTTTTGTGAAAGTATTGGGAGTCGTAGGCGTGGGATAGCGGATGTCAGGGTCCGCGCTAATGACGCGCTAACGCAATACTGGTGGTGTCACGAGAAAGGGACCGAGCTTTGAGACACCGGGCAGTTACGACGTTCGTGTTGCCGTTGAAGAGAGGGGGTATGAGTAAAGTGTTGATTATGATTGAGACAGTCCTTCCGGCCTTGGTGTCGCGCGCGTCTATAGTCTAGAATCTTGCATCGACCCGTCCTCGTCGTCCATTGCGGATGTGTGTATGACGGCCTCGCGCCGTATCTGTCTTTTCGAGCCTCCGTTTCCCCATTTGCATATCCCAATGCTTCATCCGCCGTTCATCCATACCTTGGTCCCTTCTCGCCAACTGCCGACGCTTGTCTCGTCCCTGAGCCTAGTACCATCTTCAAAGAACGAAGTCTCCGAAGAGTACAATTGCCCGAAAGGAGGAGGAGCACAGTCTATTCTAGACTATTGCTGTACGCCCAAATGTGGCGATGGCGATTGAGAAGGTCGGGAGAGGAAACAGTACTTCTGAAGTGGCATACAGCGCAGTTCGCAATCCATATGGATAGCCTCGATGTTCTGCCCCATCACCTATCATAGGGAGCGTCCGTCCTCATGATGTAGATCTCGCCAACAAGAACTACCAGACCGACGAGCATGGTGATCGCAATGATGGGCAGATTGACGCGCGCAAACTCTAGACCACCAACACGGATGTGCTTTCTGCCCAGAATATCGCGCCAGAGCATGCCCGCCAGCGATGCACTGAAGGCGAGACTGAAAGCACCGTAATTCACGCCAATCGCCATGCTGTATATCGTGCCCCAGAAAGTTCGATCGGATATTGGAATGCCGTTTTGACGGTGGATTTCTTGCCACGATTGTACCACCCTAGAGATGAGAATTGTGGTGCCGATGTTAGTTCCAGCAAACTGGTCCAAGGTTAGCTACTGGAGTTTTATGGTGAAATGGACACTCACGTTACACAGTATGACTGAAACGAAGCCCATGCCTCCAATCGCACCAACCGTCCCTGTCTTCTCAACCCAGTGGTCCCACCCATGTGCAAAGACCGGAACCCAGCCCTTGGTGACCAAAGCCTGGACCAGCACGAACATGCAAAAGGCGAAAGGAACAAGCGCCAGCGGGAGGTGGTGGAAGACAGTCATAGTTGTCGGAAACGTCTCCTGTGCCCATCTATACGTGTCTGCGACGAGTGACGCGAGTGTGGTTGGCATCGGCCTCTTGGCTGGCTCTAGCCTCTTCTCGTCCTGCGATACGAGTTCAGCGCCCATCATCTCCCGTGTTCGACCGCTCAATATGTGACTGGAGGCCTCAGCCAATGGCCGCGACTTCTCCTCGGGGTTCTGGGCCGTTTTGTGATCCGCTTGAGTGGCGGTCGCGTCCAGCTCTTCTTGTATGACAGACTGCCTCCTAGTCTCAGCTCTTTCAGCAAGTGCGGCCTCTGCTCTGCGTCGACCCTCGTGGGCGATCTTACGTGTCTCTGCCCGGTTGAGCCAACCCATTGTGAGATCGAAGATCAGCATGACGAATGCAGCGGGTAAAGTGACCCAGAACACCGGACGTTCATGAGAGCCTTGAGAGGCAGCATTGATCGCCAAGACAGTAATCAGTGTAGCTGCCATGATGGCTGCTCCAAACATTGCGCCTTTCCTATCCAAGAAGGGGTTCAGGACTTCCTCGAGGGATAGTTTCTTCTCTTGTTCGTCGTCGTCACTGTTGGGATCGCTTTCGTTGTCTTCGAGTGCACCTTTGGCGAAGGGAATATTGGGATTGACCGGTTTCTTGTTCTATTGGAGGAAGCTTTGTCAGCACATACTATAACACCTCGCTTGTGGGAGTGCTTACCTTGAGCTCATCTGGAAGATCTTCCATCTTGATAGATGCGGGGATGAGAGATTCGTCGTGGAAGATGATGTACAACAAGAAAGGATACAGTACAACTCCCGTGACAAGAACTGGTACGATAATGTTGGCCGTGTACTTGATGAATGTGATCCCAAACGCCCCGGCCAAGACTAGGTTGGTCGGATTGGATGATACCAGTATCGCCGATGCGATGTTGGCGACCGAGAACTGTGTGAAGATCCACGCCCTTGGATGCTTGATGTTGCTCGATACACGCGTCATGTACGACAGAAACGCAGTGCCGGATAGAATGACCGGATCGTTACCGATGAACGCAGTGAGAAGGAAGAAGAAGGCATACAGGTAGAAGAAAAGCCGGTGACCGACTTTCCCTCCTTTCTGCAACACCTTGAAAGCTAGCCATCTAATGAGACCGGAAGCATCAACAGAAATAGCGATGTAAGCAAGAGAGAGGAAGAACAGCATGATATCGTATGGAACAATACCCTGATCACCCAGGGTGCCACCCTTTACTTCTTTTGCGCCAATAGCAAGGATGGCTAGTAGAAAGAGATCCGCTACCAGAGGTGTTGTTATGAAGTTCATGGGAAAGTCGAACCGGACGAATGGTCCAGGCTTGCCATTCCGGACCCTCGTTGGGTGTTGAGGTGGTGCAATGATGCGCAACGCGCTCATGGTCTTGACGAATGGGGTCCATAGTATCCGCGGCACATATATGGGTATGTGGAATGGAAACAGAACATTGATGTCTACAAGCATTTTCTCGTTAGTCCGCCATCTGCAAGGTCAGTATACACACGCTACTTACTTGTCAGTACGAAAACAATGAGAGTCACTATGGAGCGCCACTCTTTGATCTTGCTAGTATCAAGGTCAGGCCTCTCTGTCTCTGTGGCGCGCTGATTCAACATGTTGCGCCCCGTTGCAATGCTGGAAATCCACACTGCAAGATGATCTTGGGGCCAGAAAAACCCTAGGAGGTGTCCTGACGTTTAAAACGTGCAAGAACAAGCTTTTGGGTTCTGGGTAAGGGCCGATTGATGGGTACGTACGCCCGCTAGACGTTGCAGGCGATCTGTGAGCCGGCGTGCCTGGACCTCCGTCGCAACCGTGGACTTCAGTACCGATGCCGAGAAATTGCTTGTACGATGACGCGCGACATGGGCATGGCGGCAGGCAAGTGAGGCTCTTGTATTGTCGCGACATCTGCAGCCCAGGAGGCTGAGCTCGCAGCCCAGGATGACAAGATGATGGCATCTCGGCGCCGGTTGGGCCGCTAGCAAGTAGCGCCTCCCGTATCGAGAAAGGGTCCAGCGCTGACAGGTCATGCCTTCCACTCAGCCTCTCGCCCTATGCAACTGCGACAGGCGAAGACGATATAGTTCACCGGTAATCTGCATTGCCCCAAACCATTGGAGATCTACATGGCACGCCTTACCCCGGAGTCGCGCCCTTATGCGCGCTGCGCAATACCTATGCCGCTGCTCTTCCTTCGTGACGGCTCATCCAGCAATGTCTTCATCTCATCTGTCTTTACCCATACCAGGGAAGCATGTCTGCAACTACAGCGCTATCCGATTTTGCGACCGCTACTTCGTCCGCTACAACGTCTAGCCCAACGCTACAAGTCGTCTGTGCCTGGCCCATTTCGTCCAACTATGGAGCAGGGTCGCGTGTTAGTACCAACTCCTTCCCACGTGTAGAGTGGGTCTGGACCTATCAGAAAACTGATGCATGAATACAGATCCTGTACTATGTTCTTGTTGCCGCATGTGTAACTTTTCGCAAAGCAGAATGGCTACGGAACACCTGTCTGGCTGCCGTTTTAATTCTGCCGGCCATTTCGGCCCTGCAGGCCCTCGTGCTAGCAGCCGCGCATACGAATGGTCAGTATAACGGCCACCAAGAACTCCAAGAAGCGCGTTTCTGACCAAGAACTCTAACAGGCGGCGTCGATATGGATATCTACGGCGTAAGTTCTTGGTGCCAACATGCCGTGCGACAAACACTGATCGATCGTTTTCGCCTGGGCAGGCTTTCCAGTTTTGCGCAATTGGCATTTTAGCAGCGCCTCTCACTGTGAGATTATCGCGAACTTATTTCCAGTCTCCCGGTCGCAACATCATATTTCTCTGGACGATACTGATCCTAATGGGGCTGTTGGCCCTCTGCGTCGAGTTCTACCGGGTCACTCCAACGGCCTGTAGCAGCGACGATAATGGGAATCCTTTCCAAGGTGCCGCTAACTTTCCGTACGAGCATGCTACTTGCAATCTGACTTGTTCTGAAAGCGTGGGTCCGAATTCTCCGATGCGAGGCGGATCTGCTGCCGACGTCTATGTCATTCCCGTGCCGCGCATCCTGACTTTCAACGCCGCCATGCTGCTCTCGGCCGGATTTTGCATACCTGCGATACTGTCCCTGATATTCACATGGGATAAGATTTTGGAGATCAACTGGAAGAGACGACGTCACGTGGAGCCGCTAGACGCTCGGATCGAGGGCGCCAACATGACCGTTGGAGAGATGAAAGGCATCAACAACGTCGTGAGAAAGTTCTTGAGTGTCATAGAGATCCCCCTATTTGGCGGGGTGATCATCACAATCATTGGGGTTGGCGAAGCAAATTTCTTCAGTCCTCAGGTGCGGTATATGACGGAACCTATGGCTTCGATTGGTGAGTAGTGTAGCGCAGTGGCATGTTCGGTGCTAACAGAGTCCCCAGGGCAATGGTCACCCATAGCTGGAACAATATTGGCCGCACTTGGGTCTCTATATATCCTGTGGTCGACTGGTGGTGATGAGGCTCCGCAGGAGAAGCATGTGGACCATTGTGAGAACTCTGGTTCATCGCGCCCAAGTCGTAGTAGCGAGCGACGACCATCTCCGCGGCCTCCTTCCTCCACCTACTTCAGCCCCAAGGGTATGGCAGAGAATGGCTTGGGCATACGCTCAGAGTCGCCCAATGCTATTGAACTGATCCCGACTATCACACATCCCGGCTCCGAACACCCTCAACCCAGCCCTTCTTCTTACGATGATCAACAAGAGAATACCCAAGCTGATCAGCCGACAGCCGGTAGAAACGTTGTGCGTAAATGGCTGACGTCTGCTGGCAATTACCTCGGCGACGCTGCGCATGAGAAGCTCGATACAGATCATGTCGGCAATGACGAAGACACTCATAGGTTTCCCGAAGTTCCTGGCGAGATCCTACGAAATCCCGATCTAGAAAGGATCAGTCGCACGTACAGTAAGCTTCGCGAAGAAAGGGAAAACAGCGTGTATGCGGCAAGTATTGCATCTACATCAGGTATCGAGGGCAGTACATCTCCGCCACCTATACAGGATTCGCCGCGTCCCGATATCAGCCCTGTCCGACGACCAGAACGAAGGGCTACGCTGGAAGTACCGAAGGAAGCGCATCGTAGGAGCGAGAGCCATTGAACGCTTATAGGCCAAACCAGGCTTCCGATACGGTCAGATGCGAAGGAACACTATGGCCTACCCCTACTGCCCAAATACCTTCGACACTCGGTCCAAAGTCGTCAGTGCGGTAGTTGCGCTCTGGCGTATCTTTCTTCGAGCTCGTCGGCGTAGTGTTGACTCCAAACACATTGGTCCACTGCTTCAGCGTCTCGTCGTAGTTCTTCGGGCTAAGCGTTCCATCTACCGAGCCATGCCAGAATTCTTGAGAAGTCAGTACGTGGTTCACGAGCGCACAAGACCTGGAACTTACGCATGCGCGGTCGTGTTCCATTGTACCCGGGATACATTCCTCGAACTACGTCACCCCAGTGCTGCGCAGTCGAGATGGACTGTCCACCGGAGCAGGTGTTATTCCATGCTGCCGCTGCTCCGGATGCAGAGACGAAACATCCAGCCGGTACACCCGAGTATAGAGACACTGCACTGATGAGCTCGGGATAGGTGGCGGCCAGAACGTTGCTCATCATGCCACCTGAGGAGCCACCAGTCACGAACACTTTCTTGGGGTCGATTTTGTACTTGTCGATCGCATAGATGATCATGTTCGCGATTGCGTTCGAATCGCCACCGCCATTATGCGACAACGAAGTTTTGCTGGACACGTCCCAGCATTCAGTCGTGGAGCTCGGCCAAACCGTCACGTAGCCTTTGCTATCCGACCCTTTCTTCCATGGAATCAGGGAGTTTTGGAAATACTTCTGCGCCGATGACTGGCATGAGTGGATCGCCACGACTAGCGCATCGCTCTTGACCTGGTCAGGTACATACACCCACCTTGGGTGGCGTGTCAGTCGATTGCAACCTTGGAAGGAGTGGTGCGGATCACTCACATGCCTGGCTTTGCTCGAGCGCTACCGCCATAGTTGGAGACTTGTGTCAATTGCGCAGCGAGAACACCCGAAGCAAGTGCGAGGGTTGCAACAAAGGTTCGGGTAAGCATCTTGGAGGAGCTGGAGGTAGTTAGGCAATTCCATGTCTGAGCCTGGTCACTATATACACGCAACAGCTCCGCATTGACAGAGTGGGGTCGAAATTCATTCGTGGAAGTTAGCATCTTCGTCTTGTCATGTAGTGCCCGAAGCCTATGGCGCCACGTGAGGTACAACGTTCATCAGAGCGTTTGTTAGGTAGCTCCGGATAAAGGGAAATATGCTCGCAATCAAGCTTCATACCAAGCACTTGTCGCACATTACCCGCATATGTCTGTATCCCTGCATTCCACGTCTACCACTTTGCGACTGCCGATATGGAACACGAGGACTTGATGTTACTGGTCGGCACATCCCCAGAGTCTAATCCAGCCACTCTAGGTGCCGAACGAAGCTTGACGTCAGGCGCAGCTTTTAGACAAGCCTCGCGAGGCCTGCAAAGTAGCGCAATATAAAGACAGAGCAATGAGCAAGCGCTACTTACTGAGGCCCGCGGATAGAAGGGTGGCTGCGCTGGATATCTGGTACGATGTATAAGGCCGACATTGGTGCCATGTGGGGAGCTTCGCGCTGGTCGTCCTGCTTTCTTTGAGGCACTTTGAGCAGACGACAAAACAGAATATCTTATGAATGATATATCAGCTTGCCCGAACAGTTACTTGTAATCGCATTCCGCTCAGGGTAAGGACATTCACGATGTGGCCTCTCCTCGCAACCACCGCCGTACTCTTAGCCCGTCAGGTCTCCGCTCATGGCGGAGCTCTGAACTATACTGTCGGAGACACATGGTACCCTGGGTAAGGTCAAGATGCAGAGTCCTCATAGAATGTGAACAAGTCGATCCAGTTAACGCTCTTCATAGTTACGATCCTTATGGTGACCAGGCGATGCAGGATGCCGCCGCATGGATGCCACAACGGAAATGGATTTCCAACAACCCCATTTTCGAAACCACCAACACGTCTCTTTCCTGCAACACCCCCGGTACACCCGCTCGCGCATATATACCCATTCGCGCGGGCGAAAACATAACTGCCGTGTACTCGTACTGGGTGCACACCGTCGGTCCTATGATAGCCTGGATGGCATACTGCGACAACGCCGAGAATGACTGCATGACCTTCGCTAGCGATACGGCAGATTGGTTCAAGATCGGTGAGAAGGGGCTGTTGGAAGGAAGCATCGAGACTGGGGAGTGGTACCAGAAGGCGTTCAGTATGTGGGACGGAAGTCCAAGTCTGTGGAGTGAGACGGTGCCTGTAGGGCTGAAGGCGGGAAGGTACTTGGTAAGGCATGAGATCATCAGCTTGCATTCTGCGAATAGTACGTCCATGGTTCTTTCCTCCAGATGCAGCTCCTTTAGGATGATGGAAGGTGCAACTCGCTAATGATCTGCGGTGCTCAGAACCGCAATTCTACCCTGAATGCGCGCATTTGGAAGTCACGAACGATGAGGAGGAAGGCAAGTTTCCTAGCGAGGAGTATATGGTCAAGATTCCAGGCGTGTGGAGTATGGATCGTACGTATGCCAATGACCAAATAAACAGCATGCGACTGATGATAGACAGAACCCGAGATCAATATCGACATTTATAACCCCGAGGTCTCGGCAAAGACGGTACGTTCGACAGAGACACGGATTGCTTCAAGAGCCTTGTGCTAACAACATTAACTAGGTATACAACATCCCGGGCCCACCCGTATGGACTGGAAAGTCGCAGGTCGCCGTGTAAAAGGCGTGATGGACTGAGCACGCTCTGGAATCACGGTCCAGTCAATCGAGGATTTGCACATCACAATTCAGTTATCCTCTGTGGCGCAATTGGCTAGCGCGTCTGACTGTTACAGCTTGCAGTAGCAGTCATCAGGAGGTTGGAAGTTCGAGCCTTCCCGGAGGAGTGCATTCTTTTTGCTGCTTGTGTGGGACGAGACGGTGGACTGGCGTGGGTTGATGGAGGAGTACATTTTTGGATGCTAGGGTTGTGGGTTGCGGCATGGACTGACAGCTGCCGAGGATCTACATGGGCTTACATAACCGGTAAACGTCATTGATTAGCGCTATGGCCATGCTCCTTCCTGCGCGTCCTCACAACAACACCACGCGTCGACACATACACAAGACGTCGAAAGCGGCAATTCATACCATCATGACGCGATATAACGCGTGTTCCAATGTGATCGTGATATTGTACGTTTCAAAATTCTCATTCGAAGTCTTTTGCCGCCTGACTGCCGAAGCTCTCCAGGGCTAGCACTATCCCAATGCACACTCCATACCATCCACCAAACCTATGCTCGCCCACACGCCACGCTATAATGTCGCCTTCCTTCGACAGACCTTGAAATATCGAGTCATCTCGGTCATCCGGTCTTTCCACGGGCAACCAGCCTTAGCTTCGGGAGCGTCTTGCCTCCTCTTACGCCGATCTCACCTCTAGACCCCTTGTCTCACTTGACACATCGTCTTCCTCGGCCATGTCCTCGACAACCTTTGCATTATCGCGGCCTCTGCGTGCTCTCTGCCTCTTGGCTTTCTTGGTATCTTTCCGGCTGGGTCTTGCGGGAGTCGTGGCAGGTGGACATGGTGGAGACTGTCCTACTTCCAGGCCAGTATCCTCTTGGTCGACACCAAGCTCCTTCTTGAGGCTTCTCTGGAACGCAGCTTTGTCTTGCAGCTTCCGGTAGCGGTTCTTTTGAGGTTCGGTCATCCCTTCCTCCTTCCTCACTAACTCCCGTTGCTCCGTCTCGTCTGCCACGTTTGCATCATGCTCAGCCTTGAATGACTCGAAGATAGCCTTCCACTCGATCTCGACATTCGGGTAGTTGTTGCGCGCGTTCTTGACGTCGAGGTTGTAGCCCGCCAGGTATGGATGCACGGCGCATCCTTTAGGGGAGATGCACTGAAAGCGCTGCCCACAGATCACGACCTTGTTGTATGTATCTGACTTCTTGTCCTGGTCGACAACGGGAGCAAGACACCAGCAGAAGTGCAGCGCGCTGACACATCTCATGGATGGGCCGCCGCCACACTCCTTGTCTTCGCAGTGATGCTGTGGTTGGACAGGTCAGTGTATTCTCTCAACATAAGTCTAGTCCCTCCCGGCTACCTACAGCGCTGCTCATTCTCTCTTTGGTACGAATGTTTCTCATCATGGCGGCGTTGCTGTCGTTCTTGATATAGTGGCCGAATATCTCGTCCAGGTCCAAGGAACTCTGTCGCGCGTAGTTGGGCATCTCTGTGGCGATTGCATTCGATATTTCCTAGATCGTAGAGGTTTATGGGTAGCGCAATTAAGCAGATAGAGTCGGGAAATTCGTGTAGGTCAGTGAGGTCGTACCTTTCGTCGGCAGAACGAGGGATCACTATTGGTTGTTGCAAGAGTTGTACGCCTTTACTACTCGGCTAATAGGCACTATTTACATTGTTATTGTTGTGGTTGCTGCCTATCAACCTACTCGGCTGAGGCTGCCTCGCTCGCTCCGAGTATCGCCGACATTGTGGTTATCTATCCCTACGAGCTTCACTGGAATCGTATCGGCTGAGAGCCCTCTGAGTACATCCCCACTCAAGGTCATGATGATCGGCCGTTGCGAGCCGTCACTCGAGCTCTGACCGGCCCATATCACGATAACCTACTAGTTGTTCTTCTAGCAGTGATTCACACACGACGATGCAGATATAATGACTGAATCGTTAATCAAACAACACTGGGTTGCTCCTCCCCGATCCCACCCCCGAAAGAAAAACACCGCATTAGACACCCCCGTCTTAGTACACTTATACATATACTCGAATCCTAGGCTCCCAGCTAGGCTCGCATGAGAAAGCATAGTCGAGGTCTCAATTGTATATGTATGATGACAGTCTTTATCAAGATCGTACTCAAAGTGTTGGTAGTTACAATTAGGTGTTACATCCCGCACCGCACATGTTACAAGAGACGAGGGGTGGAAATTCTATGTAGTAGGTAAGACTATACTCCATGCAATTTTATCAAGCCTATGTCATTTTCTTACTATATGAAAAGATATCTACGATGCGTAATACTGCCTGTCACAATACAATTGATGATACAAAAGAGCCTTCGGCCAAAGACAGTGTGAAAGGCGGCTATTGTATCGGCTATCGATTGCACTAAGTAGCAGAGCAGAACGTCACACGCTGGAAGCCTAGCTACTTTCTCTACATCCATACATGATACGAAGACACAATTAATATACAGTAACCAACACCATGATGCCCTTAGGTGAGTAGTCAAAATAGACGTATCTGTCTCAGTAGCGCAACGTAGCGTCCCTTGGTTCTCTCGTTCATCAATCCGCGCGTGTCTCCCCCCTCTTTTGCGACACATGCTTAATTTGACGACGGCGCTTCTTGGGCCTCGAAGCATCTTCTTCAGTTCCTGGTCTTCGTATCGAGTCCATTGCCAACTCTAACAATCCTTGCCATCCATTATGAGTTTCAACATCTTTGATAAATGTCGACAATGTTACTATGGTCTCGACATCCGTCTCTAATTTGTACGGGATTCTGCCCGTGTAAAAATTGACTCTATCGCCCGCTGTCATGCGTACCTTGCTGCTTATAGCCTCTACCATCTCCATTGACCGTTGCTGGATGTAGTGAATAAGCTCAGAAACATCACCTGTGGCATAAGAGGCGAGTAGTGGTATATTAATTGATGCAGTCGGTGCTAGATCACGGGTCTGCTCAGCCTCGTGGGAAAATTTCCATGAGAAGCCAACAACTGTATGGGTGGCACAGGTAGTGGCGCATCGTGAGTCGCAAGCTTCAACAAGGACGTGGGTAAAAGGAGAGTCCGATCGCGTTGGTATTGCAAGATACCGAGACAGTCCGACTGATACGCCACTTTGCCCAGAAATGGAGCGCCACCGCGATGTGTACATTGCGACTTCGACAGTATCGATCTTTCTGTAAGGATTGATGCGTTGAGACGTTTGTATAGCCATAGCCATCTCCATGGAGGAATTTTCAGTGCGTGCGTACCGACTGTCATCGGCACCGCGTGGTTGCATAGGCCTGGATGTCATCATTTTTAGACCAACTTGACCGCCCATGTAGTCGTCTCTTTCTCCTTTGATAACATAACGATTGTACTGTTCGGCAAATCTGAAAGGAGACTTCAGGATATCTAGGGCCAAGATTTGCTGGAAAAGCTGCCATACGGTGAGGCTATAATCGACGATACTGTTGAGCCTCAAGTATTCTTCAGTCCCCTCGAGTAGGCCAAGTAAAGCGAAAACACCGTCTAGAGGGACTGATCGAGGTAACATTGCAAAATCCTCAAACAATGCCTCAAACGTCCTCCACGCATTTCGATAGCTCATGAACGCGAATGTTTTACTTTGCAGTATCACAGTCGTTTCGGCGTATAGAAGTCGCTTTTCGTACAAATTTTCAAACTTGCTGTAAGGAAGTGTGTTTCCTCCCACCAACAACTGGACTTCCTTTGCAAGAAGAAATTCTTGAACAATCCACATCCGTGACCAATACTCTGCTCGTAAGATGTACTCCCACTGATGTTTTCGTCGTGTATATTGGCGTTCATCTCTTATGCACCGATAGTACAAATCGATTGTGTACTGTGGACTGAAAATGCCAGTATGAGGCAATGGTTTATCGTAGCCGAGCCAGCTGTAAACGCACTTGGCACCAGAATATATTCGTCTCATCTCTTGAACTTGATGACTCCGCTCTTGAATATCGTCCTGGTTAATGCATATGGCATCCAGCCATATGACCTGCGGTTGGTAACGGCTGCGGAAGGCTTTTAAGAAGCGGAAGAGATTTTCTCGCACTTGGAAGTATTCACCGTCCACGAGTATGGACATCTTTGGCTCGGGCGGACCCCAGACGTACGACCCAGCGATATATTTATCTCGTTCGCGTGAGATCGAAGAGGTGTATAATTCGCATCGTATTGGAGAACCATGGCGCAGGCTAGGCAGCACGCGCAAAAGCCGGAAGCTGTCACCGTCATGCAGAAGAGGCGAGAACCGGGTAGAGGCAGTCTGCCGGACCTATGCTGAGTTGGTAGAGACACTGGTGGTTGTGTTGTTTGTTGACATAGCGAACGCCCTAGCCATAAGGTAAAGCCCCGGTTTCGAATGCGGGATGCAAGGCAGCGATTTCAAATGAAGGGGGTTTCCGAGGAGATATACTAACGGGAGTAGACAGAAACGAGGGAGGCTGAGCAACGCCACAAACTTGGCAGCTGACATCGGTACTAGTACTGAGGCCACACCAATCGCATCCTCCGCGACAAGTTTTCGAGGTCATCATCGCATAAAATAAAAGGCAAACCAGTTAGGTATACTGTAGATTCATCATGCGGAAGACGATCATAAGGCTGTGACCATGAAAAGGTGCCTGGCACGATGTACCGGTCGTGTCAACTCACATACTGGCAGATGTAAGGGTCCAGGATGAGACGCAAGAATGGCGATGGAAGATATGCGGAAAGAGGATACATGCATGCAGGTTGCGGCGTTGAAGAGGGCTGATAGCTTTGATATCGACAGAAGGCGTCGTGTACATTGTGACAAGTGTGACTGCTGCTGTGAAACGGGACCAGGAGGTAGCATTAGAAAAGGCCGCTACCACATGGAAGATGCAGGATGCTGCGATAGAGCTCGCTCTTCATGATCGTACCTGGCCCAAAGTATTCATCGTGCAGGATTCCGCAGCATATCAAATGGAGACACAGCGTATACCTCGGGACCACGAGCTCGTATGTATCGCGAGCGTTGCGGCCGAAAAGCAGCCTCGGGGCGCCGAATACAGCTGTGAGTTGTTAGTCCCCAAACTCGATGAACTCGCCGTTCCTCCCTCCCGACAGCTGTTCCGCCTTCTTCTCCCATTGTTCCATAAACCACAATGGCCAGCCTCTCGCTCGTTTCCCATACGTCCGTCGGAGGGGCTTTGACACAGAGTGTGCAGTCTCGAGGTATGTCGCTCTGAAAGCATTCCACAACTGTCTACCTCCGTCTTCTGTAGCCGAGGGATCGGGGAAGTATGGATCGTTACAGGTCACCGCTGTGACTAATCGCTGTATGGCGGCTTCGGGTCGGTCGAAGGAGAGTAGCGAGGCTTTGTCGAAATCGAGGATGTAAAGGCGCATTTCATCTGACATATGATGTGTTCGGTCCCATCGGTCCTGTCTCCAGTTGGGTTTCGACATCGGGGCGCCCAGAACGAGATTCGGCGGTGAGGAAGAGCAGAAGGGCTCGGAGGTCTCGAGATCGTTGGCAAGAATGACTTGCCGCCCATCCCAATTGTTTGCTCCACCAAGTACGAATTCGATATCCATACCGTCTACGAGGGCATGCCAATGTATGATAGCCAGGCCTGTAGCCATTTCTTTCGCCAATTCCATCGTCAGGCCATCGTCAAATGGAAACGATCTAAGGTCCTCCCTTGTTAGAGGAAAGTTCCAAAGATTGTCCGACCTGCACAACGGTTCGTCCTTGCGTGTTGCCAGTCCAAGATATGGTCGCACAAGACAGAAGTCGTTCTCGGAATTAGCGAATACCGCGGCTTTGGATGTAGTGAATTCGTAGCGCGTTATCAGAGCGTGCCGAACCTCGCGGCCTAATGTAGGAATAAGGGACAGAGAGAACAGGAACGGTGCCGTGTTCTTGTGTTCGGCGTCCGTGAAACAGCCAGCGAATTGTGCCCAGAAGTCTTCTTTGGCTTCATCTGCTATCCAGCCCTTGATAGCTGGCACCCTGGGAGTGTAGTCTTTGATTTTCCAACCGCGTTCTGACTCCGTCAACGACCGATGTACGTGGGCCGTCAGCCGTACATCATTCCATAGGGCGTCTCGGTCCCGACCGATCTTGTATGCAGCCGTGGAGTGATCCACGCAGGTGTAAATGGTGCCGCATGTGCCGCGACCGATAACGTGGAGATCTATGGGGTTTTCGTCTATTGCGCGCGCCGGGCTTGTTTGGAAGCCGTCTCGAGGGTCATCGCTCGCGTGTTCGTTCTCTGCTTGCGCCATGGTGGCAGCTCTGCGAGGAGAATAGGTGGTCTAGATTGCTATTAGAGTATCTGCAAGGTTTACGTTGTATCACAGTTGCTAGATATTAGCCAGGCGCAGTTGACTCAGAGAGCGAGCCATGGTTCGTTCTAGTATGATTCTCCATTCCAGGCGTGCCTATTGGAGCACGCGCAGACGTTCGCATCTGTCGTGCTAGAGTGGGTGTACGGGGTCGTCAGATTGCGATAGCTTGCGTATATGGAGCCCGCATCTGTCGGAGGTTGCCAGGCGTTCATCGTGGTCATGTTCGCGCTCGCATGCGCGTGGATCAGTCCGCGTTCTAGGGCCGTGCCCGGGCTAGACTCAACTCGCCCGACACGTGACTACGCGATGACGATGACGCCATCTCAGAACCTGCCACTTTCTGAGCGCGGCGAATGTCTGCCATGGTGCAGGTTGATATCGCTGCTCTACACGCGTTGGTTATCCATCGATTAGGATCAACAGACATTTTTGTACAAGATGTACATTACAGGACCTTGCATCGCGCTCGATGCATCGAAGAACATCGAGGCTTGTACATCGTGAGCGTACAGATTTTACATACATCTTCTGCACCTCTCATGCGTGCTTCTACTTCCTCATCCGCAAGCCATATAACACATTTTCATTCCTCCACGAAGAACCTAGCCGCAAAGACGACATCGTTCTCGCTGAACACTCCCTGCCTCTCACTCTTCACCTGCCTCAGAATGCCCTGTTTGTTCTTCTTGTCCTTGCTCTCCGCAAACGCGATGACACAATGTCTGTTCAGCGGTGGGTTGCTGTTCGTCTTCAGACGTGTGGGACTGCGAGGCTCCTTGGGTAAGGTGCGGTGAAGGTTCTTGCGTTTCTTCGTAGCTGAGGATTGCGGTGTAGAGGGTTCGTGGCGCGCAAGTTGGGGTGTCGTCAGATTTGAAGTGAGCTTCACTGGTGACGGGGTTTCGTTGCCGCGACGTGATCCGCGCAAAGGTTTGCGTTCCGGTGAGCCATCTGCTTGCGGAATAGGAGCAGGAGACGATCTACTAGGTGCTTGAGGTGACCGGGTGTATGAAATGGGCTCCATATCAGGCTCAGGAGTTGTATGTAGGCTGGACAGAGGGGAAGATGTAGCAGTGTCCCAGATCTTAGAGTTCTGGACGACCGGTACCGCGATCTTGGACGATGGTGCTGCATCCGGTGTGTTTCTTGGTTTGGCGAAAGAGCGAGATCGACGTAGTCGTGCAGATGCTTCACGAAGAATCTCTTCTGGATCCTCGAACCAGAATGGGTTTGCCTTTGGGCCTTGTACACCAAGAATATTGTTGCTAGAAGTTGTACGACGCGAGAGTCTCGGTTCGGTTGCATGTATACTCTGGCTGCTTGAGTCAGCCCCCAGCTGGTCGCCATGCAGCTTGACCTCCTCTACTTCAGGTCGTTCAACCGTTGGGATAGTGTTCTTGACAGTAGATGCAGGTTGTTCAATCACAACATTCGGTTGGAAAGCGCTGGTCTCTTGTTGGTCGTCGATAACGAGGGGCAGGTCAATCTTCGCGTGCTCTAATGGTGATGTAGGTGGCGGCGTTCCCATCCGAACCGTACTTTTTCTTGACCTGCGAAATTCGGTGCTTGCCTTCTCTGTCTCAATAGATCTTTTCTGTTCATCATCCCCTGAGACTGTGTCCTGTCGAGTCGGATTCTGTGCGGGGCGATTGGAAGCCAATTTCAAACGCAGTTCAGGCTCCCACCTATGATCCAGTATGATTGATCTGTCTTGCCCATAAACTACCAAGCGTCTGACCACGATGTTGGAATTTGTCTTTGGAGGAGATTCTTTCTTCGGAGAGACGCTTCGTTTTGGCTTTGTAGGTACTGAGTAGAAAGCTGCTGGCGGTAACGGCAGGGACAGTCTGCGGTCAAAAGGCGGAAATGACAGTTGTGGTGGCTGAGAAGTCTGATATTCTTGGGGGTTTGCGACTTGCGGTAACATGTTTGGTTTGTAGCTCTCGGGAGCTCCGCAGAAGTCGGGCCCCATACCGGACATGGTATAGTCTTGACGCGTGTATTGGCTTTCGGTTAAGCCACCGCGTGATTCTCCAGACGGAGAACCCACATGCAGCCTATGCCTTGAGGGTGCGTGTCTGAGTCCTGGTAAATGTGTAGGAAAAGGTGATGCGTACTGGTAACCTGGGCCCTGAAAAGCCGTGGGAAAGCGATCAAGTGGACTAGACGTCAGACCGGCGTTGTCGCCCGGAATCTGACGCATGAGATCACTGGGTGCAACTCCTCCCAACGTTGGATCCGAGAATCGAATCGTATATGGTGATGGGAGCATGTGAGTCGTGTGCGAGTTTGGGGTCAGATCTGGATACATCATCTTCGGAGTGAACCCTGCACGCGAAGTGAGCTCCGCTTCTGGAATGTATACTGTGTCCCGTGCATGCGCTCTTCCAGTCTCCGGTGCACGCGGTATGTTGGAGGTATCTGCACTCTTTCGAACTGGTGAAGACGTAATTCCTGCATCTGTAGTGTTTGGTGCTATCAGTGCTGGAATCCTTGATCCGACACCAGCGAGTGGTGGATTTGACCGCGTCAAGGGTTCCATGGTTAGAGCTGATGGCAAAACAGGTGACACATCCCGCATCGTCTGCACTCCGGACCGGAGAGCCCGTCTCTTTGTATGAGACCCATACTCTGGATCGCTGTCGCCTTCTGCATCGACGTCGATGGTATCTTGAGGTTCAGCGTCACTCTCGCTCTTACTAGGAGCATCGACACGTAGTTGCATAGTCCTGCCGTCGGCTCTAAGGACGAACGGGTAACTCTCGTCGATCATGCGCTTCGGTGCCTTCAGATAGCCCACGCCACTAGTGAGCTTCCTACCCTCTCCAGATGTGATGACCACGTCAATGACTCCGAACGTCTTTCCACCTGGCCTTTGCATAGTGTGTACTTGCTCCGGCATCTGCGTTGTCGCAAGCGCGTTGAGGAACTCGGCAGTGGGAGGAATGTTGCCTTGTTCGTCGGTACCCCGCTCGCGTGCTTCAGCTTGGAGCGCCTGACCAATGTGTTGCCATCGCTGTTCTACCGAAGGTGGTGTGTTGTTCTTCGCAGTACTGCCATCTGCGGCGACTCCGGGTGGTAGGATGATCCATGGCCGCTCAGCGAGAAAGTCGACTCTAGTGCCCGCGAAGACCTGGTGATGGTCTTTCGAGCCAGATTTGCCGTCGTAGTTGGGCATGGCCAAACATGCGGCGAGCGTTCCATTGAAGAAGACTTCGATCTTGAGCGATGTTCTCTGGTTGTAGAGGCCGGAGACATAAGTCTGGTCGGAGAGGTGGACGTGGAGGGTAAGTGCTTTCAGTGTGCGCTGCGAGACATCTGGGAAGCTATCGTTAGCCGTGGTGGTGCTGTTAGTATTAGGCGGAAGGTACGCACACTGTGCGTCCCCAGGTTCTTCCTCTTCGTATATGTCACTCCCGACCCGGGTTTGCATGAAAGGCGCTTGTGCGAGCCAGTTGAGCTGGAAGGCAGCCTCATCACCGGGGAAAGGCACCTGCTCTTCCTTCAACAACTTGCTCCCCAACAGCCTCTTTTCAGCTAATGCAGACTGCTGCTTGGCTGCCTCCCCCTTTCTCAGTATGATCTTTGCTGTAGTCGTATCACCGAGCGGAATCGCGCCCAGGCGCACCGAGACGCCACGCGCGAAGTAGGTAGGCATATTTGCAGGTGAAAGAATATACACGTATTACGACATGGCCGTCGCAAGAGGCAATGCCGCACTGCCCGGTATTGGGTATTCTCGAGTCGGTTGGGTGCGGTAAGGCCGTCTAGAGCGTGTCGAGCATGGTGGGGGTGTATGGGGGACGCGTTGCGGTGACCAAGCGCTGCTGAAATCGCGTGACGCATATCGTGGGCTTCCGTTTCCGGCAGGTACCTCCAGTGCTCTTTCCGCGCACTCGTCCTCACCGCCGTGGTCAGACTTACGTCTATGCAAACGCTACCTGACGTATAGCAATCTTAAATGTACCCAGGTGTCATGATAGTGGATTTGGCCAAGAGAATATACACGCGATGAATAGAAGTGATAAAGAAGCAAATCGAGCAGCTTTGAGAGAACCCGACGCGCCAGCAGACCATGTAGAGAGAAGACTGAGAGTAATCATCCCAATCGCAATGAGTCTATCCGCACGAGGAGATACTTACACAGAACGCCTAGATTGCGTAGAATTTCGCCTTAAAAGGGTACGCAGTTGACGGCAGCCGATACCGCGCATCAGAGCTCGATTTCACCCCCGGACTCAACGAAGCCTCCGCCGCTTCTTTGCTGCTCGGTGCCATTGACGCCCCAATCGTCGGTAATGATGCCAATCGGTGGACCGCCTAGGACATCGCCTAACTCGCCTATAGTCTTTTCGTACACACTCGCAACACCGCGCTCTTCCCAGTCCTCATCTTCCTCATCGTCGTCATTGTCCTCGAAGCCTTCAAAGGTCACAGTGCCTTGACGTCCACCTGCTTCTGCCTCTCCCTCCGTGTCCGTGCCCGTGTCCATGGCCTCGCCCACGTCTTCCCCGTCACCGACCACGCTGTCTCCACTCAGTACACGGGCGACCGTGAGCCTGGTCCGGTCTACAACGCCCTTCAAACGAACCTTGTCTGTTGTGGTGACTGTACGACCATTCTCAAACCCAGGTAAGAACTCTCCGGTCGCAGTGTCGTGCCCGGTAAGTAGGGATGAGAAGGCGTAGTCGAGTTTTGAGAGCAGACGGAAAGTAGCTTGAGCGGAACGCGTTGAGGAACCGAATAGCGGGAGAAAGTCGGCGGTGAGGACGGCGAGGTTGAGCAGATAGGGTATCTGGAGGTTCGGTGATCCAGATACCCAGACAACATCTACCAGGCCATCGAGGTCTTTTGCGACTTCCCAGAACGCCTTGTATCCTTCCTCCTCGCCCGGCGCTGGCTTAAGCTTTCGGTTCGTCATGCGGTTGTCCACTCGCTTCTGGATGCTGTTAACGCCATGGTCGAGGTAGCGTATCAGATCAGATTCCCTTGGGCCGCCGGGCTTCAGTGGGTGTTTGCGTGCTTGTGGGAGGGGCGACGCGTGCTGTGACGGCGCGGACGACGCTGGAGGAGTAGGGATTTCGGCCATACTAAACACCCAGAGCCTACGTTGACGTTAGATCGCCTGATTTGCATAATTTTATCTTAATGTAGGCTGGAGACCTGTTGAGCTTTTCCCTTGTGCAAGGTGATAGTGTGTAAATGGTTCCAGGGTTTTGTTCACCGTCACGGTGGTAGGTGAAGGCGCAAGGCAGTGGGTGAGGGGTGAGGTGCAATCGTCATTCTATGCCGTAGGGTGAGCGCGTTCTTCTTCGTCGCGTGCGGGATCGACCCGCATCGTGAATTTTGAGCTGAGAAGTTGCACTGGTGTTGCGATAGCTGAGCGCGGAGCTCCTGATGGCGAGATGACGTTCGCGGAAGGTTCCTCCTTCATCCCAGCCCGTGCCCTGGATCATCCCGCAACACCACCTGCATCGACAGCAGAGCATCACCCAATTGTCGCCAAACCTCCGACACCGCATCTACCTCTGCCGTTGCTTACCATCAATCTGTTGGTGGGCTTTGTTTTGTCATCAGGTACTCCTATCACCGGAGAACCTGCAGTAGCTGAGGCAACGACAGTCATGCTCACGGCTTTTCCAACGGGCACAGGATACGTTTCCGCTAAGAATGCGATATGACGGAAAACTTGCATGCTTCGGAATAGCATGCCATCGGAGTTCAGCTGCTATGCCGTGTATCTCACAGCAAAGTAAGCCGCTGCCGCCATCGGCCCGTCCTGAGTGGCCAGGAGCAAGACAAGGGCGCTGATTAATCACCACCGCGCCCTTCTCCAACGCGTGCGCGTGCGCCCTACATGCAAGTTTCATACGTCCGCGACGCCGATATGCATGTCTAATTAAGCCGCCAACAATCAACCATGTCAGTATACTTATGATGGTCCACCAGGCGTCGCCCCTTTTCTAGAAGTTTTCTCAGCTGCAAGAAAGGGAAAATTTGCTAACAAACGCAACTTCGGAGAGCCCCGATTGTTGGATGAGGTTGAAACGCGACGTTTATTGACTCTACCACTTAACGGCATAACGTTGAAAATTTGCAATGAAGCCTATGACAAAAGGTATCCACCCGTCGTGTACTCTCAGCGCGAGTAGTCAGGAACGTGTCGCGCTTGTTCAACTTTTGTGGCATGAGAACCTGTAGGGCTGGTTTGAGGCACATAACTGACCGCCAGAGTACCGCTATGGTTGGTGGGTGCGCCGCAAGCTAGCACGATCGCGACGGGCAACATCACGGAACTGAGAAAAGCACATTCGAGACCGTTTGACTTGTGGAGACGTCTTGATGTCGTCCTGCACTCAGTTTTGCGGAAATGTAGAGACAGGCACCTGTATGGGCTTAGCGCACGACGCTATTGGAGTCAAGGGCGTGGTTTGTGATGGATGCAGGATGACTCCCCCGCGTATCCGACGGCAAAGCAAGCCATCGCTCAGCGCATCATCCATCTGCAGCATGCAACCTTCTCATCACCTACCAGCCCTAGTTTTGTGCCGCTTGCAAATGACTCAACCCAGGGCGTGCCTGAGTGCCATGTATAAGACAACCTTAAGGCCCACTTGTTTGTGGTGCAGTTCTGGAGCAGACGTCTTATCTTCACTCGCCACCTACTAGTCTGATCTCTGCCTATTCGCACTACCCCAGCTGCCCAGCTCTCAGCTTCTCCGCATTCGAGACGTCTTATCTGAGCAGGATTGTTCCCCGCTTTCTGGTGCGACCTTGCCTTGGCTATTGCAACTAGCAAGCCTACCTTAAGGCACGCGACAGCATCGACATGTCTTCTTCATCGAACACATCAGTGTTTGCGCCACCAGACAGGATGCAGGCGCTGGGCAATCAAATCGGCTACAAGGTCCGCAACATCTCGCATCATGGCCAGCCCACCATCGTGATCGATCTCAACGACAGCAATGGCCACTGCCACAAGTTCATCACCAGCTATTCTTCCATGGATACAATCGAGGGAACAGTCACCATCACTGCACCGCACGACACTCGTTTTGAGGACATCGACATCGCATTCACTGGTAAGCTCAGATCACACACGAACTTCGCAATCATCGTATCTGACATAACACAGGTACAAGCCAGGTATATGTGGATAGGATGACGACTACGCCAACAATGACAGGACGAACAGAGGCAAAGCACCGGTTTTTGACTCTTAGACAGCCAATAGACCAATCAAACTTCCCCTCCCCAAGAATTTTTGAAGCTGGAAGACCCTACAAGTTTCCCTTCACATTTACCATCCCTTCGCAACTACTACCAAAAGCCTGCTCGCATCCAGTAGTCTCGGATCACATACGCGACGTACATCTCTCACTACCACCCAGCATTGGCGATCCCGATCTTGCTGGTTTTGGCAGTACACTGCTTGATGACCTTGCGCCGGAAATGTCAAAGATCACCTACGGAATCCAAGTCAAAATCGCGCACACTCGCGGATCAGAAGGCATCTCGGTGCTTGCTGATAAGCTGAAGAAAGTGCGCGTGAAGCCAGCCTTTGCAGAGCAGCCCCCACTGAACATTGATCACAACGACGAGTACCGATCGCGACAGGAAAAGACAGTCAAGAAGGGTTTGTTCAAAGGAAAGCTCGGGACATTATCTGCGAAGACTATCCAGCCGCCACCTCTTGTCATTCCTGGCGCAAGATCAACAGAGGGCAGAACGATCACGACTATGGCCAAGTTAGTTCTCCGTTTTGATCCCACAGAGGAGACCAGCGCACCACCGAAACTCGGTTCATTGGGGACAAAGTTGAAGGTCGTGACCTACTACGCCTCAGCTCCTAGGCAGAATCTACCAACGCGGTCTACGCTCGGGTTCGATCTGTCGCAAGGCCTATACTCCGAGTACGTGCCGCTGTCCAACCTTTGCATCGCCTCCGCCCAGTGGGAAAAGCACGATGCGGCACAAAACCCTAGTCCAGAAAGCCTGGTTCGACGCGACTCCGGCATTAGCGATTGCTCAACTCTGAGCGAAGCGGAGAAGGCCTTCGCGATTGGCATCCTACCTGCATCCAAGGATTACAAGCAAGGTGTCTTCTTCACAGCGCAGATCTTGGTGCCAATCACCCTTCCCATGACACAAAACTTCATACCGACCTTTCATTCCTGCCTTATCTCACGAACATACACCCTCGCGCTGCAGTTCTCCGCCCACGGAAGCTCCAGTATACATCTGAAGGTCCCGATCCAGATCTGCGCCGAAGGCAGTGATACTGGTATTGAGAATGCTAGGGCGAGGAGTGTCGAGGAGACGGCATTCAGAGCTGCCTCTGATGTCTTTGCTCCACGCAGTGTTGCACCTCCAAGCCCTGAGACGGCTCGCAGCGCGAGTGTTGGTACGCGAGAAGAGATGCCGCCCGGCTATTCGGCTTTTGCGCCGCCCAGCACGAGGTACAGCGTGAGCCATTCTATCGTTACCTGAAGATTTTCCGACCAGTGACGAGGCCAAGACAATTGTGTTGCGTGACAAACTGACGATTATCGAGCGATGTATTTCTTGAAGAAGGATCTTGTTTTTCGGCGTTTTGGTATGGAAGACTGGCAGGGTTTTCATTCATCGCACCGCAGCTCATGCTCTTTTGGAGTCGCCTTTTTCTATCATTAGATCGCTCACCAGATACCCATACATATAGTAATGAACTTAATACGTTGTCGTTCTTATGCTACTTGCATCCTCTGCTCTTGCCCGTTTCCTAAAATGGTGTCATAGTGTCTTGGCACGTCCGTGCTGGCCCTGGGTAGCTTCCCAATCATCTCATCCTGTGGCACCACATCAGCACACCATCACGCACAAGCATCGCTTTCCATCAAACCAACGTGAAGAAACAATGGCCGAGCATCCGTCTTTCACATTGGCAGGCTTGTGTAAGTGCCACGATGCCATCTGCGTGTCTAGTTGTATGAGAGCTGACTGAGAAATGATGTGCAGTGGCGGTCGGAGGGACTGCTGGCTATCTCCGAACACGCTCAACACCAAGCCTTGTCGCCGGAATCGGATTGGGTGCTTCGTACGCTCTTGCTGGTAAGCTGTTTAGCCCATAGAACGTGATTTTGGCTGCATTGAACGTATGCAGCTGCTTGTGGGCGCTTCAGCTGACCTGCGATCCAAGGTTACCGTATCAAGCAGAACCAGGATTACGGCACTGAACTTGCGCTTGGCAACAGCATCATGTTGATGGGCTCTGCGATACCGCGCATCATGAAGACCGGCGGACGCGCGCCTGTGCCGATCGCTCTGGGTGCGACTGGTGCGCTGGCGACTTATTACTACCAGAAGAAGGTGCGCGAGTTCAGGTATGGTGTCTGAGAAGCATTCAGTCTTCTTGAAAAGAAGGCTATCATCAAACGGCGATGGCGCCTTGTACAACTACTCAGGGTGGCTATATACTACCCTGCTCTACTCTTGAGTATCAATACCCCACTCCCATTCTCTTCTACTGAGTAAATCCTTTTCCGCGCCGTTTCCTCATCTCCAGTACCCTCAAGCTTCGGGCTTCGCTGCGCAATCATCATCATACCATCAAGCTGTACCCACGGACCCGGTGCCATCCAGTACCGCAGTGTTTGATATATGCCAAAGCAAGACGACAACAGCACGATCGCGAGGACGGCAACGGCTACCCACTCCCAGCTCAGACGCGGACTGGACCCGTACAGTTGCCATTGAATGGGATAGGATACAATCTTATTTTCCGATTTGGAAGGCAGAGACGACGGAAGAGGAGACCAGTACTTATTGCTCATGCTGAGGATGTTCTGGAACAGGATCCCCATAACGATCGACAGGCCCATGGCATCGGAGTTCACAAGCGGATCGATTGCCTGTAGGTTGCGACTCATCAATAAGAATTGCGGCAGTAATCTAGTCGATGGAACCAATAGCTCAAGCCTCGGCATGACGTCCCGTGCCTGCATACCTACTCCATTGGCAACATCAAAGTCGCTTGCAGTTGCGCGGTCGTAAACGATCTTCTGGTTCAATTCAGCGCCGTAATGGTTAAAGCTCAGGTCGGGACTTTCCCTATCCACAATCCACACATTGACTGCGTATAATCCATGTCGGAACAAGCTGGAACAAGTGGCACCGGCAAAGCCTAGGGATGGGACTGGTCCAAAATCGGTCATGATCACCGCTTCCGACGATTCGTTTCTAGCTGGCGGCCGGACAAGGATTGACGCCTCCGGGTTCAATGAGTCCATTGGCGTGCAGACAGTGTTCAGCACTGGTAGTACGAGCGTCAAGTTACCGGTCCAACCGATCGATGAAGATGTTGGCTGATGGTCCGCGTCCTTGAGCCAGTTGTAGACACTGGTTACTTGCCCATCGTCTGCGGAGGCCGTCTCGACTGACCCATTTGATAGGCCGAAATCGGTATTGAGTGCAGTCCAGCGCTTCCATGGATCTCCGTCCAGCCGGTAGTTGTATACATGTCTCCAGCCTTTCTGCGATTCCTTTACCGTGGACACAACATGCGTTAAGCCGGCGAACGCGAGAGAAGCGGACATGCCGAGCGCCCAGTCCCATGGTGGGTAGCCTTCCCCTCCAATATTGGATTGGCCGACACCGAGGATGTTTAGCCAGTCCACGCCGAGGAGTGATACTTTAGGATGCTCGATCCTCATTGTCTTCCGGTCACGTGTCGTCGTCTTCCATCTTTTCTGGTAAACAGGATACCAACGCTTCTTCGGTATAGCCACAGTGTTCACGGCCAATCCTTGCAACATAACCGACACAGATACGCAGAGACAAAGCAAACAGCGGGCAACGCTTTTCCAACTCAAGCTAGATCTCCGCCACCTTGTGGCAAAGCTGCTAACAGTCATCCACGGCTTCGTCAACTCCTCTCTCAAACCAAAGTCGCTGTAGTTCACACCACGTCTATCACCCACTGCTGTAGTCTGTGTCATCCAGACTGTGATAAAGAATGAAGCCATATATTCCAAGGAGCTCACCAAGAGGACATCGAGGCTCTTGTTAAAGAAACCAAGAAAGGCTAGCTTGAGATCCGCATCCACTTCTTCACCGAAGACACGGGTCAGGTCTATGGAGATGTATGTGCGCATCGCTCCGAGCGAGATCCCGGCCACTATGATTACGATCACAGATATGCGAATGGCCAGCATCCAGTAGTCGGCGAATTTCAAGCCCGGTCGAGTCGCCACAGCTGGACGGTGTCTGATCTTGGCGTATATATTCTTGGCGACTACCACGAGTCTTTCTCTGATGGCATTGTCAGTTTGAACGCGATGTGGCTGCTGGGCAATTACTTCAAGGCTATCAGTATCTCTTTGTGGCCGCGCATCCTGTTGGACAAACTCTTCGCTGGGGCCTTGGGAGTCATATTCTCGATTTGTACACGAACAGTGTTTCGCCGCTACCCGTCAGTTGCGAGGCTGTTGGTTTTCACAAGCGATATCAACACAACAGAAAGGCTCAAGGGCGGCTATATCTTCCATGGTAAGCATGCAAGGCTGAGAATGTAGTGAGGCTGAAAGATATGCCCATGGCGTATTGGCTGCATGCATGACAGCCACAAGCTGCACGAATGCCCTTATCTGTGCGACAATACATCCGCGACTTCCACGAATCACATCCTAGAGAGAAGTAAAAGCCTGTTTTTTCACCGTTGATAAGGGTTGAGTTTAGAAATACCAATCACGTACAGGCACAAGAGCAACGCGTCATCCAAGCCCGCGGATACTAAAACAAACGGCTGCGACTCTTTTCACGAGCTGCTGAACGCGTCGCAAGCTTTAAACGGGCTGGGATTGCCAGAACCCATCCCCATAGGAGTGACGTGTGAGCCGAGCGGAGCGTGCCACGGCCGCCTTCCGCGCGTCCCTTCCTCGCCGCATGGCCAACAAGCGGCTCCCACTTTCTTTGCGCAAACCCCTTGATAACCGCCAAGAACACCGCTTGCATCAATATAAATCCACATGCACACCATCCATCGGGTATATGCCAATAGTGTATGTCTGCCTTTCCGCTCCGACAGGCTCGTTCGAAACCCCAGAGGCAATCCGGATGTTTGGAAAGACTTGGAGGATTCGAATCACCGCATAGCTAGCTTCCATCAATGCGTAATCCCCTATCCGGAATCAGCATTTCGCGACTCAGAAATACACCGTTGTTCGCTTACTATCTAGACAAAGTCTTGAGCCGCCATTGAAGTCGACGAATCCAGCGCCTGGACGAGCCTTCTTAATCAGCTCGCCACTCTCCCACCTTTGTGGCCAGAACACTCTTGCGTCTGGACCATAGATAGACTCAATACGGTGTAGGTGGTATACCGACCAGACGATCCCGACGCCCTTAGGCATGAGGATGGGGGAAGTGCCATCTGGGCCTCCGCCTCGGGGCAATACGGTAGCTTTGTTCGTAAAGCGGAGATTCATCGGCAATGTTGGGTACAGTCGCAAGACTACATTCGTCAACGCGTGTCAGAAATCTGGCAAATGTGAAAGATGTTCAAGATGGACTGGGCTTCGAGACGTCAATGACATGCGCATCGACATCACGTATCCGATATTCGATTATAGGTAATGACAGCAAAATTCTATCTACTCATTACACGTTGAAGTCATCTCCATGCAAGAAAGTCCAAACCCAATCATGACTACCTTGCCGAGCTTGGTATTCCAGCTTCATGTTCATGGTCTTATCGAGTTTTCCCTTCATCTTGTCCAACCCAGCTAGTAACTCCTTAGTTACTTCAGCATTGTACCCATAGTACGATATCTCAACCTGAGTCAATCCCGGCAATTTCTTCAATTCTTTGGCAAAATTTCTCGACATCCACCTTCGTAATATGTACTCATAGCGGCCAAACTGTATCTTATGTACAGCCTTTCGCTGAGCACTTGTCGCATGGTTGAGCCAATATGTTAAACTGCCAAAGTCGTAGAAGCGAAAGACGCTGATATGGCGAGAGTACGCAGCAGCTTCCGAGTAGATCTGGCGGCAGACACGAAGGAGGGCGAAGCGGTGCCTCGGTGCGGGGAATTCAGACGCACGCTCTTCAAACACGGATCTGTATCTGAGTGGCTTAATAGGTCCACCCCATGCTGGGCGTATGATAGGGTTTCCAATGGCGAGCTTCCAGATTATGGCGCGGATTTCGGCAGGAAGTCGTAAGAGGGGCGATTCTCCGGCGTTTCGCTGTACGCTACACTGGCATTAGTATTAAAACTCAAAATATAATAATGCTACACTTACATAGCAATCTCGCTACCGATAGATTTAACGTTAAGTAGGCCATCTTTGGATTTGTGGTAACCGCGCTTCCCTCGGCGAGGCTTGTCGTTAGGTGTGTCGATCTGAGGAGTAGTTTGAGCGGCCGACATATTGAGTTGAAAGTCGAATGGATGCGTCGGTGGAGTGGTTGAGAGCAGTTGCATAAGCCAAAAATAAATTTTCATCTC